TACGCCGCGAGCACGCACGTATACATAACAGGTACCTATACGCCCGCGAGAACGCACGCACGCACATAACAGATAGCTATATACGCGCGCGAACACGCACGCACAGAACAGGTACCTATACGCCCGCGAAAACGCACGCACATAATAGAAGCTATATAAGCACGCGTATATACTGTAACCTTCCGCTAATTGCACTAATTCGTCCCTGGAAAATACCTTCGTTTGAAAAAAAATTTGGCAAAATTCGGCACCAGAGTGCACTGCTTTACATTATTCACGCAAGATAGATGCCTCGTGGACGTCTAGAAGGCATTAGAAGTAAGATTGGTCTATCAATTAGGGACCTGTCACAGAGAAGAGCCACCACATATGAAGCGATGGCGCTATTTGCGATGCGCATCTTCTCTAGGCATGCCACACTCCTGATTAAATGCTTAACGTCGGCCCTACGTCAATTCCTTTAGGCGATTTGTCCGCGCCCTATCCCTGTACATTGGTATATCAAGGGACCTTCGGTAGAGGAGTGCCACCACATTGAGTAGCAAGGATGCATTTTTGGCTAGGCATGCTATAGGCCTACTCGATCCAGATTAAATGCCTCGCATCGGTACTACGTCATTTCCTTTGAGCGACAGGTCGCCGACGTGTCCGCGCCCCATCCCTGGACCTTGTGCATTTTGTATGTGTCAAATTACTAATAAAGTCCTATTTCAACATCGAATCTGCGACACTGTACCGGCTCTATCTGATATGGAGACTATAACTAACAAGACTCTACGCTGCCACGATTCTATAAGACAAGAGGTCTCAACGCTCTTCCCAGTACAACTAACACTAATGATAATGTGCCTAGACTTTCTAAATTTTCCCATAGTATAGAAAGAGACCCCGCGCGTTCGCGCATGCCCAGTATCTGCCAGTTAAAACAATGTTGTTGAAATTATGCTTCTAAAATGGAGCGCATGCCGATTCTCGTCAAAGCACCTGGAAGTGAAAAATATATCCCGATGCTTCCCTTTAACAACGATAGAGTACCAAGTTTTTTTGCGGTTGACGTGACACTAATAAAATATTAATCAGCCAGTATAATATATAGCAACTATTATTCGTCCGTTATATTTAATCGTCTTCATATACGGATGGAAAAACGCCCGCTTTTTTATGGAGCCAGACTGCCACCCTCGCGATAATTGTGGTGGAATTCACGTACTATGAGCGTAATAAATACGCACGCTCAAAATTCTATATTTGCTATCAGGGCAGTCCGCATGTGTCAGTGTTTGTAGTACGTGGCTGTGCGTTCATCTACGTGGCGGACTGCCACAGACCCTTGCCACAGACTTGTGCCTTGGTCAGCTTTTTTTCATTTTAAAATTTTAAGATAGAAATAAGTATATAAGAATAGAAATTTTCACATTAAACTGCTCGGGAATCCTGGCCTTCCATTTTTAACGCATAATCGCAAGAGAATACTATTGCTTTTAGCAGATAATAGGGATCGAAACAGCACACCCAGATATTTCACACTGTAAGTTATGCCACGTTACTAGGGATACGCTGAGAAGCA